TGATCTCAGAGATCTTTTCCAGCCTCAACAAGTCTGGGATTCTGTGAGATCCTGAATTTGTCTCCTAAGAGTGCAGGGTCATTGTGAGTTCTGTGGGATATCACAGCACACCTCCAGCTGTTACCCTGGAAAAGCTGGATTGAGGGAAGATTCCTCAAACTCTGGTCCTGCTTGAGCTCCTCTCGCACGCTGTTATCTCCATGCCTGGTGGGCTCAGATCTGTGCCACAAACTCCACGGGCACTCTCTGGGATGAGCTGTATCTGTCCCAGTGTCCAAAGTCGCCATCTGGGTGTCACCAGTGTGAGACAAAAGGAGGTCCGCAGGGTCAATGGCATGAGTGGAAAAGCTGATGATCTCCAAGACATAGGACCAGAGCTGCAGACCTCCGAGGTGGAAATTGTCTTTTTGGGTGCACTCGCTGCGAGTCTGAGAAGCTGCATTTCGACAACAGCGCAGCTCTCTGGCCATGCTGTGCTCTGGTAAAGCTGGCCTCTGCCTACACAGAGCTCAGGTAGGCGCCCGGGCTGCCTGGCTGCACTGCAAAAATCATCTCTGTCACGATGGTCATGTTGGAGGTGGAGGTCCCTGTCAGCTGGAAGGTGCAGGTCTCGGAGGAGGGCAGCACCGTCAGCTGGCACTTCTGTGCCTGAGGCATACACAGCCAGGCTGATCTCACCAACAGCTGAGCCCAGCAAGCAACTTTCTCCATGTCTAAGTAGGCGTTAGTGCAGAGTCTGCCTAGGAGTTCCGAGCTCTGATCCCTCGGCAGCTCGTTGTCAGTGCCGTGGAGAAAGCACGTATCCCCCAGCAGCAGCTGCTCCATCTGGCACATGCACTCCATCACCACATGGGCCCTGAAGATCCTTGCTGGCAGCTGCCGTGTGGTGTCCTCCTCCAGGATGAAAGAGTACCCCGGGGGTGGCTGCAGGAACATGAGCCGGCGGTAGAGGATGGTGTTCTCATGGGCACTCCAAGCTTCATAGGGGCCGTCCACCCCAACGGCCGGGTGCATCTGTGGCATGAACGTCGTCTTGCAGAGCATTCGACAGACACCAAAGAGGTCCTCCACCAGCTCCTTCAACACCTTGCATGTGTCAGGCAGGCCCTGCTGCACTGGTGATGGGGTGGACACAGCCAAAGATGGGTCACCATTGAGGTCATCCTTCTCCTGCTTGTTGTTGCCCTCCTCCTGCTCATCGTTGCCCACCTTCTGCTTGTTTTTGTCCTCCTCCTGCTCATCATTGTCCACTTCCTCAGAGCAGCCAGGAAAGGCGTGCATGATTGCCCAGGCCTGCCAGCAGAGTATGGCTCCCCACG